CATATATCTGTGCAGGTCTGACTCACACTTCAGACACATTTATTTAGGGATGATCAATTCTGCAGAACGCAATGGGTTCCTCTTACTATTTTCGTTGTTCAGACTTGCCTGAAGCATGTCATCCAGCAGCTTCATATCACAGTGGATTTTGAAGGTGGTTTATATACTCCAGAAGCACTGCCTTATAAGGGAACACAGCTGCGTCAGGGAGGCAGTGGGGGCAGGACTGGACGGTGGCCCCAGCCCGGCTGGGAAATCATCAGATGACTGCGGACAGGGAATTAATCCCCTCTGGACCTCAGTTCCCTTATAACGACAGCAGATGGGCTCATGCATTACCTCTAAAGTTTTTTCCAATTTTAAAATTCAGTGTTTCATTTGCTGGTCTCTTGTCACCAAAGGCACGAGGACTAGAGTGGAACGGGGGCTCCTATTGGCGGCATCGGTCTTGGTCTTAGTCCTTGATGTGGAAACAAGATCCTGCTTAGAGCGTAGAACAAGGCAAGGGTCAGAGGTGGGTGAATGGATTGGCTGGACCATCTCCCCGGTCCCAGTCCCAGGGGAGCTGCTGCTCATTTATCACCACCTTGGACTTAATTATGTGCCAGGCATTGTTCTGAGTGCTTAAGAGATCTTAACTCATTGAACTGTCAAGTAGCCCAAAGAGAAAAGGCCCACTGTTATGCAAACTGGGCAGAGAAGGAAACTTCTCTGGACTGAGACCCAGCGAGGCTAAGGAATTTGCCGGGGCCTCAGTGGGACGGCTAGTGAAAAGCTGAGCTGGGATTTGACCCCAGGGAGTCTGACCCCACAGGCTGCCCGTCAGAGGATAAGACCACAGGCCCTAGGTAGTTATCATGCCTACCTGCCTGCCCACGGGGAACACAAGGGACAAATAAGTGAGGATGCCAACAAGCAGAGGAAATCAACACGGGACATCAGGAGAGGTTCTGATCTCGGGGAGACACCCACGTTTGCTGTTCCCGGGCATCTTAAAGAAGCGGGTAGACACTTCTGGCTCTTGTAGAGTTTGGGACCATCTTGTTGGGGGTGGTGCTAGGTGACCCGAGGTTGGCCTGGATCCTGGTACCTGTGCTGGCCTGCAGATGGGTAAGGACAGAGGGCAGCTGGATGGTGTCTGTGTTGTGTGCATATTTGTTGTGTGTTGTGGGGGTAGACGGGGGCGGAGAAGCGCAGTTATAAAGCTTCGTTTCATCTGTTCCTTGACCCCAACATGTCTCTGGAATAACTGCAGACAGATACCACCCAGTGACTGCAGGATGAATGGTCAGCAAAGGACACACAGGGTCTCAGAATATGCATGAATTATATTATTTCTGCCTCCAAGGGCATTTTCTCCTCCACTGGCCCCCAGCCTCCAGGATTTCCAAAGTTTCACAGTAGTGTGTGATTTCTGCAGAACTGGGTACCTCATTTTTACTTCTTTGAGGGCAGGGACTAAGCCCTTACTCATCCGTCTCCTCAGCAGCTGACACTGTGTTTGCTGAATGAATAAATGATACACCTCAAACCAAATGACGTCTGTTTAACTCGCAACTGGAAACCACTTCCAACTGTCTGTTGACTACTGATTTGGACTGGAAAGTAAATACAGATGTGTTTCTAGGGAAACATTTTCATTATTGTTGGTTTTTTACAGGACGACTTGGTAAGCTAATCATTTTAATAATTATGTCTGGATTCTAAAGAACCCTAATCTGCATTTTACTCTCTAGACATTTAGTATTAACAACGCATACATTCTCCTGTAATACCTGCCTTCCTCTCCTTTTCTATGAACTTCCCCCTTTCTTAAGGAAAGCGTTAAGACTACTCTTAAACTCAAGGTGACACGGCATATCTGGGCATTTCACCCCATATGCCTCCTGATTTTTAATTTCCTTCTAACACCTTCGACCTTTGATCTTGAAGTACAAGGGCCGTACTTTTATTAGGTTTAATTTACTGGAAAACCCGATGTTCCTTGTGAATCAAGCCATAATAGTCAATGAATAATCACAGGCTTCAGCCAGGCCAGGTTTTAGTTCTGCCGAGTAACTAGGAATCTGACTAATAACAGGAAAGTAAAAAAATGTTAAAAACCTTGATATGGTCCCAGAAATCGGATAAACCATTTTACTATGAGTGTGTGACTGCCCACGGCTAGAGGGGGTCAGCCATCAAGCAGGACCCAGGGCAAGGGGGCTGCTTGGGTGAGCCCAGGGCTCCTCAGAAGGGAACTCGGGGAGCCGCAGAGGCCTGGGTGGGAGTCAGAGAGTCCAGGCTTGCGTGTGACTCTGGCTTCCTCTCTGCAGCCTCCGCACCCCTTTCAGCTCTGCAGCTTGTGCAGCCTGGATAGATTATTTCCTATGAGGTTTCACACATTTACATCCGAGAGGGTAGGGCTGGCTCCCCTCCCCCCATGTTTATAATATATTTTTAAAGAGTTTTTTCATAAACTGCCCCCAGAGAGAAGCTTAGAAAAGGACACTCAGTAGCTATATCATTCTGAGCCTTTCTCGCCCATGTGCTCAACATGTACTTTACATATTTGTAAATGCCCATCACAACCCAATTACAGGTTCCATAATCCCACTTGCTTCTACAGAGGTGAGAACTGGCCCAAGGTTTAGCGAGTTAGAGCTGAGCAAAAGTTGCTCGTCAGGAACAGATTGTCTCCAAACTCCCGTACCTCTTCTTTTGACATCTTTCTGCTCAGATATGTCGGAAACTCCATCTCTCCCCTGCCTGCATCAGCTCTTCAAGGAGGAAAGTGACTCTGAACCCCTGATCACCAAGCACTGGACACCTGTGGGCGCAGAAGCAGGTGCTGTGGACGAGACAGACCCACTTTGGGCAACCGAACTTGACCGAATGGCTGTCTGCACGAAGCTTCTCAGACACCATCAGGGCTGTGTGAGTAGTCTGGGGGAAAAGACCCTCTGTTAGCTGGAACTGCAGCCCCAATGAGTCAGTATTTTCTGCTATAGTTAAAAAAAAAAAAGTAGCATACTTTCCACGTCTCCATGGTAACTTACTATGGATCCGTATTCCGTTTATGAAGCTCCTTCCTGACCTATCTGTGATTTCTGATCCAGGCCACGGAGAAGCCATCAGAATCATTTCAATCTGCCAGAAATAATCCTCCCTGCACCCGGTTCCTTCAGCCGTGAAGACCCTGCCCCTGACCCATGCAAGGGTGATACCTGGAAACCCTCGGGTACCTGGAAACATTAAGGTGCAGCAGTATCTCAATTATCCGGATAACTCCGGATTTAGGGTTGCCATGGAAACTGCGAACCTTGGCAACCGAGACATGAGGCAGTTCCTTTCCCTTCACAGCACTGCAGTCCCCAAGACACATCAACTTTAAACCTGGGGCCCTGCCCAAGCTGGGCTATTTTATTTTATACCCACCTTTAGGAATCTAAATAGTTCTCTAAATAATGAAAATCTGACCTGAATCTGAATAGGAAATGTGCATTTTTGTAGCCGCAAACTCAAGTATTTCCTGCTAAAAATGGAAACCAGCAGTATGGGTGACGGTTTTGACCGTAGCTGGGAGTCAGATAAACTCGAGTTTCAACCCTGAATTTCCCATTACCCTAAGGGCCGATTCCCTCATATTTAAGGAGGAGGCAATAAGGCCTGGGAGAATTATCACGAGCATGAGCCCAGGGATGCTCAGTCAAGGCTGGTATGGCTAAGGCACCGCTCAACTCTAGGGGGAGCCACTCACAAGGAGGCTGTAGGAATGGGGCTCCCGGGAGAGGGCCGGGGACTCCGTGACCTACAGAAAGGCTCGGTTTGTACATCTGTCATCTCATTTAGCGTCTTTTCATGGCAGAATGGTCGTAAAGCATAAGCATAATCAGAAATTCCAAGTCCACAAGGAGGGCCAAGAACGAGTCCCTTACTACCCAAGCCCGGCGGCCACTCGGTGGCACCAGCACCACGACTCCAGTCTTATCAGGGCACGTCTGGTGTTAAAGCCTCCGGACCAGGGGAAGAAACCAAGGAAAGACGCTCTTCCCGAACCCCTGGGTCACACAAGGGCACGGGGCGCCAGGCTTCTGAGTTCCGGGCCCAACGCGGCCCTGGAACCGCAGGCCAGGGACAGAGAAGAGTGACAGCCGGCGTCCAGCGAGGTCGGGCCTGCAAGGAGCGGCTCCGCCCCCTGCTCTTCTCCTCCCCCTCCTCTCCTCGGCTCTCCTCCCCTCTGCTTCCCACCCCCTCCCCTCCCTCCCCTCCGCCCCTCCGGTCCTCTCCCCTCCCCCTCAGCCCCTCCTCCCTCCTCCCTGTCGTCTCCCCTCCCTCCTGCCTCCTCCCTCCCACCCCCTGCTCCTGAAGAGCGCGCGGCGACGGGGACCGGCCGGTTACTTCCTCCAGCGGCGGCGCGGAGCGCGGTGTGCCCCAGCC